TGCCGGGATCTGATCTGTTTAGCTGCTAAAGTTAAATAGGAAATCATTTGATCAGAGGATCAATGTTTCATCTCAGGGCTGTACGGGAAACTAAAGTTGCTCATTGTTACCAGCACAAGAACCTATAAAAAAAACTATTATTCGAAATCATAACAATACCAGAACAGTCAGGCCAAGGTCCGTAATTCCCAGGTCCCAAATTCTATCATTTTCCACCAGAACACAGGGAAACCCAAGGTGGACGGAAGGCGAAGTCGAAATTTTTTTCGCACATTGGAGCACAAGCAGGGTCCGAGCCGAAATACAAACAGGCCAGAACACCATTCTTAGGAGGCTCGTACAAGGGACATTGTTCTTCTGCAGAAAAAATGAATTACAAGCTTCATTTCACGGTTTGCATTCATTTTAAAAATCACGGAAAGATCCACTTGAACCAGAAACTTGGCAAGGCTCCCTCGAGCAATGAGAACGAGAAAAAGCGTCACTGCACGTCGAGCATGGCTACCTCAGCCCTCTCGTGTTCTCACCATATGGCGAAAACGGCAGAGAAGCCGAGAGATTTCTCATTGATCTATCCCCGCAGCTGTCCGAGAAGAAGCAGATAGATTACAGCACTGTCATTCATTGGCTGGGAGCAAAACTATCCTATAACTTGTTACGATCAGCTGTGTGACGCGTAAGAGGCTCAGGAGGCAAACATGAGTTAAACACTGATTTTAGCGGGGCAGAGATGCAGAGATCGCAAATGTGATTGGAAAGATAAAATGGACACGTGTTATTTTAAAGCGCTGCGTGGAATATTTTTAGCCCTTAAATGCTCTCTACATCTTTTCAGATATGTTTTTGTAGATGAATTTATAATAACTTTTAAAAGACTTTCTGGTTCTCTCTCCTTACGTCGTTAGTCTCCGAAAAAACAAAATGACTGCGTGCAATCTAATAAGCTACCCCTATATAAAAGCCCTCTCACTTATAAGCCTCTCCAAGGTGTAATGTCCAGTCCATTCCAACGGTTCCAGTGGTTCGATTTGCGCATGCGCGTGGTCATCGCTTTTGGATGCCACGCTGTCTGTTGTAGTTGACAAAGTGTTTGTTATTATTTAAACAGCCATTTATTTAGAGAAGACTTACGGTTGTTACAGCTGGGAGTCTAACAACTAGACTATGCTTCTCCGGGACTGTTTTTTTGATTTGAGACGCCCAGTACCTATTATTCCTTGGACTTAAAATACAACATGTGGCCAGGGACTGTTAAAAAGCATCTTGAAAAGTTCTAATACATCACTTAACGTTTACGATACTTTGACTCATCACCGTAATGGTTTCCATAAACTGTCCTGTAGTCCATTCCATTGTGCTGCTACGGCCGGGGAAGTTTCAAAATCTTCACTCAAAATGTCCTATAAAATACCTTATAGTCTAAAGAGGCGCTTTATCAACAAAAGGACCCCTGTGTACTTACTTTTTAGAACTAATTGAAAGATACATTCCGCTTTATTGCCAGCCAGATCTTTAGACTCGCAAAATACTAGATACGAACCAGGTACAGAGTATTCCTCTCCAGATACTCTGTTGTACTGTATAATGGAAGGTGCTCCAGAGTTGTCTTTGGCTAGTGGACGATCCCAATTAACTCTGATTACTGTCTTTGTGATATCATCTATGTTGATATCTTTTGGGCAATATGTGAAAACTGGGGGCTCCTGATCTGGAAAGTGAAAATGATACATGTCATTAAGACCTCAAGACTGACTCTTGCTGCATCTCATTCACTTGGTGAAGAAGCATTTTTCGCTACTGCTGAAAGCCCGAATGATGAGTCTTGCTTACCCAATACTGCGGCAATAGCAATGTTGGAGAGAAGAACGGTGAAAACGATGAATCGAGTAATCATCTTTAAAGCGATGTCTCTCCTGAAAGAATAAGAGTTGCGACGGTTTTGCTAGCTGTGGACATTTTTTATAAGAGATTAATAAATTGTCACTTTAAACAACAACAAACATATGAAACATATGTGTGAACTGCGGTTATGAGACGTATATGAGAACGATCCTTCGCAGTAAAGCACTATTTGAGCAATAGTGAAAATCAGACCTGAAAAAAATTTTCAGG